CAAATATGCTTTAAGTAGATTAGCGTTTGAATACATTGAAAATTAGTTAAATTGGTGATCGCATCAAACGAGTGAATATATGGCAAAAGAATGTGTTATATAATGAAAGAGACAAATGAAAGGCAATACAGAATTTGTGAAGAAGTCGTAAACACTTATTGTATTAATCGATTTGCATAGTTGGTTGAGCGCACCGTTCGCTCCAATGACTCCATAGACTTGTTTCCTTTGATGTGTTATACGATTTGAGTCCAACAAAAGCTTATCTCTAAAGAAATCTAATCAATAAGTTCTCAATTCGGCGATTCATTTCATGCCATTTATTGCGACAATAATTATTATACAAATCGCCAGATATATTACACCTATTATTACCTACTATTATAACCGTGCTCTTTTATTTCTATTTTAAGTATTTTGCAGATTATATTATTAAATTATTTTCTATTTGCGAATAACTATAATAATAATCGTAGATTATAATCATGTAACTAATGATATGTTAGACATTATAATATGCTATACTGTATAACTTGCAATTTAAATAATATTGCATATAATTAACTACATGAAAATCATAAAAATTTACCACTAAATTAAATTCTGAATATTCTTACACTAGTATAATATATATAATATAATGAGCAATTCTTATAACCTAAAGTTGACAAAAAAAATTCTGTAGTAAAATAATTAAAGAAATCCTTGAAAGTCTTTAATTTAAATAAATTTTTGTTGAGTTAAATAATGTGTGAATACAAATCATTTGTGACATAATATTATTATAAGAATATTGAATAGAATTATTAAATAAAATTTTACAATGAATTACACTTAACTTCCATTTGTTTTGTTTGCAAAAATTATACAACATATTTATTAAAATAACAGCATAAATTTTATACAAGGGTTTCCAGAATAATTTAAAAATTACTCAAATATTCTTAAAAATTAAACAATTTTTTGAATCAGAATTATTTATTGCAATACACAATAAGGGCAGTGAAAATATTTTTGAGAATAATTTAAACAAAGAATTGTTTATGTCTTTCATTTATTTTGTGAAACAAATTCATATAATATATCAAACAAATGACTCTGAAATCTGGGCTGTTTTGCTAGATTTCTTATATGACTCTCCCGTTTCGGGGGATATATGAGAATAGTTTAAGAAAAATGCTTACATAGACATACAGTCCCACAAATAATTCACAAGACATGAAAAAACAAATAAATTTGTGGTCAGACTTCTTGAATACAAAATTGCAGTATATTTATAAGTGAATTCAAGTGAAATGTTTTTGATTTAATAAGTTAAGTGCCAGTCATGCAGTCACAAGTTTGCGACATTTCAGTTTAATAATCTTTGTTAATTACTATTTATATTTAAATTATAAATGCATTTATAATAACTCTTTTTAATAAATAAAATATCAAGATTAAATAAATCATCTCTTTTCATAATTTATCACTAAAATAAAATAAAATGCAAAGGTTTTAAGAGCAGAATATTCCGTTTATTAAGTTACCTAATACTAGTTTATAATTTAATAAATCCCAGGCATTAAATAAATTTATATATAAAATTTTAAAAAGGAAATGTAATTTTTTAAAAACATTAGTCTAGAAAATATATTTTTTTTTGTTTTCTAAAGTTTTGCTCTTATTATAAATAATAGTTTTGTTGGGAAAAGATATTGATTTCACTAAAATTCAGTTTTAAAAAATTTCAGAATCTCTTGAGATTTAAATGGATTGCATTGAGAATGGAGTGTCAGATCTACTTAACCATGCAATCGATTGCTATTATAAATACTAAGTTATTATAAATTTTAATAAAATATTCAAAAATATTCCTACATATCAGATGTATTTTTGTAAAATAAATTTTATTTTTAACTTAATTTAAATATAATTAAATACAACAAAAGACTTTTAAGTTATAACACAAATTATATAATTTAATTATTCACATTTTATTATTTGCATTCTATGCAAATTAAGTTGCAATGAAACACAATTATAATTATTTTGATTAAACATTTGCTGCACCGATGGCACGATATAAGGGACACATTCAGCTATTAAATTATAGATTCATTTTCATACAAATATAAAACATAAAATAAATCTTTAATCAAGAATTTTAATCAGACATTAATTTGGCATTTACTCGTAGTCTGACTATAGATTAATAAATAGTTATAAAACTTTGAGCCTGTTTAGGTGTTTGCAAACCATTAAGTCTTTTTTGAGATACAAATATAGCATTATCTATAATTTTCGTTTTCATAATTCTATACAATTTCCTCTCTTTATAGACATTTTTATTCATTATTCATGTTTTGTGTTAATTATTTTCTCTCAAATTTATTGATGTAATAAAAGAATCATTTGTTTTGAACACGAAATGCCTTATCGTCTCCTAATCACTACATTCACTGACTTTATCACTGATTCAATCAATACTAATAGCTTTCAATTATTAATCCATTTAATAAAAATACAAATCTATGAAATGGTTTCATAAATAAAAATACAATAAAAATTGAATCAACCTTTGGATCTGATGGCGAAAACTCACAGAATATAATGGATTAGTTTTTTAAAATGATTTCATGACAAAAAATGTTTTAAAATGAATTTTTCTTGTGATAAATCTATTCATGTCTTTCATTCAAAATTAAAGCATTTTTCCTTTTGATACAAATGTTAAAAATGAAGTCAAGAAATAGATATCTGTTTCGCGAGAAAGTAATAAAAAAGACTTCTTTTTGTATCAAATGATGATATGTTTGCAAAGTTAATAGCCGTCAGTATTTCCGCATTTCTATGGACTATATTATAAACAGAATTTATTCTCAATTTTAAAAATTTTGCACTAAATATATAATATAAAATGCAACAAAATTTATTACTCGTAAGAAATGAATATAAATTGTATTCAAATTTATTTAAATAATTAATGTTTTTACAGAATTCTGTAGAGAATTGTAGTGAAAGGACGACTAAATTCCTTCATTCATTTGACTGACACAACATTTTTCTATATAAACACATGCTATTGATGCCTACGAATAAAGTGCTAATATATTTGCAGTATATGTTTGCAAAAATTAGCGGCACTTTAAACATAGAAATAAAGTTTAAAAATTTGTAAAATTCTCATAATTTGAAAGCATAGAAAACTTACCACTTTTTTATAGTTTCTGGTATTGGCGTGAAATGTGTTGCAGCGAAAGCATATGTTTTAAATGATCTCTTTAGCTATACATAATTCATGTGATATTAAATGATTTTTGAGCCCAAAAAATAGACTACAAATAATACAATAATAAAAGCGTTGAACACATCAAAGGAATTGTGAGAAACATTGAGCCGTTGTGTTGCTTCCAATGCTGTTTGTATTCAATGTGTTGGCTCTCTATTGCTCTCTATTCTGGTTATCATTCAAATACAGGAAAACTGTGTACAGAATATACTGTTAGGAAATTCTGGTATCGATTTCTTCCTTATGATAACTAAACGTTCAATTTTTTGCCTCAAAGTCTTGCGCAGAGACCGGACCCACACATCCAAAGGCAGGGAATACACGGCCTGTACTGTACAGTAGAGCACAGTTCACTCATAATAACTATTCTCTATATTTTGGTTCATTTGGCTTTCCATCCAAAACCTAAAACCACTGGAATTTCTGACCAAAAACTGACAAAAGAATTCGTTTAACGAATAATAAATTAGTAGTTATTTGGATGTGGAATGTCTGGGATGTCTGCAAAACAAACTTATAATTAATTAACAAATAATGAATTTATGAATACTATTATCATTTGGTTCTCTCATTAATTATTTAGTAAATATATATTATATGAGAGAATATGTTGTCATTTGTCGTCACAAAATACATGATATGAACACAGAATTAAATTAAATGATTTTTTCGTAAATAATTTATAACAAACGAGAATTTTCTGTTGATTTACTAAAAATTATTATATTATTAACTTTACATTAAATATTTTAATAGAATTTCTATTAATTTAATTAAAATTTAATTTGAAAACGACTTTACAAAAATATTTAACGATATATGTTTTTGTTGTCATTTTGTGAACAAAATACCGTACAGAGAATAATGCAAATATTTATTTAATAAAATTTTTAATTTGAAATAAATTTAATTACAAATCCATTATATAATATAATAAAATCAGTGTTTAATAAGAAATTCAATTATAATACTCTTATAATAGTATACAATAATTAAAATAATTGTTAATCGATTTAAAGATAACAAAAATATATTGAAAATATATAGTAATGTTTCATTCGTGGTATTGAATCGAAACGTAAAATAGAAAAATGATTTGTTTTGGCGACAAATATTGATATAAAAAATATAACTACAAAATGAAATATATTTTAATTTATATAACAATATAATTGTCTAAAATACATATATATTTTGATTATAAATAAATAGTCAGTCAATTCCGGTTGAGCTCTTCGATGAGGTCGTAGAATGAGGTGACAAACCATTTCGACTCCTTCTTCACTCTCTCGCGGATCTGATTCCCCCCGAAGCCGATGAACGCGTCCTAACATAAAAAGTGGAAAACATTTTCGTTATTACTTTCCCTTTCATGTGATGACAATCACGCGTCACATCTAATGAAAGTCTAGTCTTACCGCCGGAGGACAGGCTTCCAGATCAGTGACTCCATCGCCAATCATTATCACCCGCTGATAGCCCTGCAAGTGCTTCAGATAGGCGACCACCTGTGCCTTCCCGTCTTGTGATGATGTCGGTTCCGTTTCGTCAAATCCGGCATAACTTCCTGTCAAATGCAAAGTCAGAATCCATTGAAAAAAGTCGATTCAAAAGTGCAATTCTGGTGTCAAATGAGAGGCAAACTAACCGTCGAAATAGAATTTGATTCGATTGGCGAAGATATTCTTGACGGGAATGTGGAGTTCTTTGGCCACCGGTTCGATCACCGAATAGAAACCCCCGGAAACCAAATACACGTCTATATCCCTGGCGTGTAATAGACTGACCAGTTCTCTGATGAATGGCAGACATCAAGAAAAGTTGAGTATAAATTGAAATATATATTTGAGTTTAAGTCTTAATCTCAACCAATAATAGAAGTCATAATCATTTGTAGCAAAAAAGTCGTTCAAATAATAGTCTATTGGAGTCTAATCTAATGGTTTGAATGAATGCCTCAAAGCCTCAATAAAATCGATACTATTATAGAGTTAAGTAAGTGTTGACTCACTTAATGCCAGGCGTTAGTCGCGGCGGATGTGTCTTTAGGTACTCCTTAAGCATTTGGACGTTGGGTTGAATCAGATCCAGACGTTGGGCCAAAGCCTCTCTGAAACTACAACTGCCTCTCATTGCACGCCGGGTCCTGTATTGCAAACCAGACATATATTAACCATAATGTCATTTCCATACGGGTTGACAGCAACTATATGTTGACATTTGCATCAACACATACTATGTCTACAAATATCTTACATTTCCATCACTTCCTTCTCCTTTCCGGCAAACTTTGCGATCTCATCGATGGCCTCATCCCTGCAGACCGTGGAGTCCACGTCAAAGCACACGGCGTCTGACCCGCGAAATATAGCCCTCACCCGACTCTCACTTAAATTCAGTGACATTTCGATGTGATTATTATTATTGCTATTATTATTATTATCACTCGAATAAAGATTTGTAGAAATCATAAGATGTATTAAAACCCCTTTTATTATATGTGTTGAACGACTGAAAATCAAAATAAATTTCACATGAATTCAAATGTTATTTAATTCTTGAAATGTTAGGAAATTATTTGCTTTTTTGTTAGAATACGAGAGAGAATTTGAAAAGTTTTTTGTATCAAATGAATGAATAAAACAAACAAAAGAATCAATTATTATATAATAGAAGAGATAATTTGCTAAATGAATGAATGAATGAATGCATTGAAGGCCACAATCATTAATCACTTGGAGTTTGCAAATTAAATGTGATATCAAAAAATCTGCTAAACTTTTGATTATTTATTATCAATAATCAAATATATAAATTTAAGAAATAATTTGCTAAAATATTTAATTATTGCAATTAATTTTCCAAAACTTTTTAAATATCCAGGTCATTTTTGCATATAATTTTGATCCAATTAATGAAAGTAAGAGCACTTATTAGCAAAAATTATTCTCCAACACATTCACGTGATATTCAATTATAATATTATTTCGCAAATAAACTAAATTGAGTTTTCTATTAAACAATGAAATGAATATTAAACCAATAAAATGTTGATACCAAACAAATAGATAGCAAAATACCAGCTGTTTTAGAAGTCCCGTCTTTTCACGTATTCTGCGCTCTTTTAAACAAAATTTAAACTTTTTGTTTGCAAAATATATTCCGTGTTTACTTAATGCTAACTTTTCGCTCACATATTCACTAAATTTTATACAAATTTAACAAAATAAAAACGACATTTGAATTTATGATAAGTATTTGTATTGCGATTAATGCTTGTATTGAATCATAAGTTTTATCGCAAAACGCTTTACAAGAACTGAATGCAAGAGTCATTGCCTTATAGTTCACAAAACTATTGATATTATTCTGAAGTGAAACAACTGTTGGTTTAGTGATAGCACCAAAACACCCTCTGAATAGGGGGGCAAAAGCTAAAAGGAGGTACACTTCACGAGCTTAATCTCAATATTTGTATATAATTTCAACAAAATATGTTCTCAAAGTTGTTTAAAAGTCTATAAAATTATTAATTTCTTTAATTCACAGTTAAGTCAATCGTGTGAAATAAAAATCAGAATATTTTTTATTACCCATAACTATACATCGGACCGGAATTGATTTGAACTAAACTTAAACTGAATATAAATTACATTATAAATATATCGGAAACTCCTTTACAAAACCGAAAATAAATAAACAAATGTAATTGGGTTATAAAAATAAACTGTTTTTACTAAAATATTTCTCAATAAATTAAAATGTATAAACTTTTTAGGAAATTAAATACAATTTTACTTTAAACCAAACTAATATTACTTAAAGTTTTAACTTTTTAGTGATAATATCTCTAGAAATGATATAATGTCAATGATTAGTTATTGAATTTGCAATGAATTCAGTGATTTTGTGTGTAAATTAATTGCATTTAAAAATATCTCTATTAAGGAAAGTTTAGTTTTATTTTAAATATTAAACTAAATTATAATTTATTGGAAAGTTTATTATATAATATTTATATGTAAAAGCAATTGTAAATCATATGTTAATTGAGTTATAAATTCAAAACTTTTATTCCTTTAAAAACTTCTGTATTTTTATTGACTAAACAGATGTTAGGAATAGTTATTGAATTCAATGATTTCATAACATTCCCCAAACATATTAGACTTATAGCGCGACACTACTGTACTGTAGAGTACTGGTAGTATAAATAACGGAGTTTTTTAATATATTCAAAGATAATATATTGTATAGTAAGTTATGTGTCTTATGTACTTATAAACTTTTGAGCCTTATGTATGGTCATAACTTCTGGAAAGCGTTGTTTTGCTCGGCAATAATATATTTTTATAATATTTATTTCGCACAAAACGAAAGTGAAATGAAAGTCGAAAAAATATTTGAAAACTTAGCGCAAAGTCAGTGAATACTTTGCAAACAAATTGTTTCGAAACGAACGATGAGTTCAGAGATGGGATGGGAAATCAGCTGAAGAAACAAATGGTTTGGTTTGAAATATATTTCAAAAAATTTGTGTTAAAAAATAGCATCAAATGAGTGGAAGGAGGGGAATAGTGTTTGACGCAAATGGATTGGGCTGTTAGTTGACTGTTGCCAACCGGTCCCACAATCTCGATATCTCCTGTATATTACTATCTAAACCAATAAAACAACATTTTTTCAAATGACTTATTTTGTGCCAAAATATGAATAATCAGGACCTGAGGAGACACTCAGACATTCCGATCTATTAATTGCTTTCATAGGAATCACTAACAAGTGTTTACAAGTTTTCATTTAACAGACAATGATATTGTAATTATCGTACAATTAATAGTGTTTCTGAGATATTTAGACACAATTCTGTCACTTCTACAGATAATTGTGGAGATAATAAGTTGGGTGATAAAAAAGTGTGAAAATTGTAACTTTAGCTCCGGGTCGGTCCAACATCTGAGGAGTTTATGTTATTTTTAAAACTAATACTGTATTTAGAAAACTATATTAAGAAGACAAGGATTTGGTGCTTACTTTCAGATAATGCGCTATCAATTGATAAGTTATGATATCATAATTTTAAGAAAAAATAATATCATTTTCCTAATGATTGTACCAAAAATCATTCGTTATAATAGATGCACTTACTTGTAGTTTTAGTGCATACTGAATCATACATTTTTTAAATAAAAATATTGTATCTGTTTTTTAAAATAACTTTAAAGATTTCAATGATACCAATTGAATTAGATACTTTTAACTTATTTTTTAAAATGAGTTAAAATACGTTATGTAATTTTTAAATAATTATAATATAATTATTATATTATACCAGTATTTTTCGGAGTTTTTATAATACAATCAGTAAACGATAAGAATAATCATATAAAACATTTTAAGTGTAATTTAAGTTTTTTTAAATAGACTAAATTTAACAGAATTAAGATTTTATGACATCTTTATATTATAAATTTATAATAATAAATTTTATATTACATTAAAGTAATATTTTATAATGTTTCAACAAAATTCTGAAAAATATTTATTATATAATTGTTTTTTATAACTCATGTGATCAATGATTTATTTCTTAATCGATTCTTTCGAAATTGTTTGTCAAAAACTTTTCTACACTTAAAAAAGTTATAAACAATTTTTTGCAAAACAAACTCTGTTTGGAAAATTTTTTTATAACTCATGTGATCAATGATTTATTTCTTAATCGATTCTTTCGAAATTGTTTGTCAAAAACTTTTCTACACTTAAAAAAGTTATAAACAATTTTTTGCAAAACAAACTCTGTTTGGAAAAATACCTCACAATTACTTAGTTGAAGGATTAATTATTCATAACAAACGACAAAACATGTGTTCAATTATTCTGTGCTTTCATTTAAAAGCATAATCTCATTAAACGGATTACAAAATAAATTGCATAAAGTTTGTAAACAATTTAGTCAAACATACAAATTTAATCATAGCATTTAGGGAAAATGTTTTTTAAATAAAATTTTGTGTTTAAAATTTCAAGGCTTTAAATATTAAATTAAATTTTTTTCTAACACAAGAATCTCATGGCCTTCACTATATATGCCATTCTTTAGGCAAATTTGCATTCAATGTTCAGCACAAAGGACTGGAAATCTCCGGCCTCGACCTCATCAGCCCTCCCATTACCACTAATGTCTGCAAAACATGAAAATACACTTACATTTCAATTCCAATTTGTTTAATAAATTAGTTTTTCAACAATATCGTCAACGAATGGATAAAGATTTTTAGACTCGTATTAGTGGCACAAACATAATTTAATTTAATAAATATATTTTCTTGTTAAACAATTAATGTTTTTACAGTATGTAGTTGACTTTTATATCATTAAAATTAATCACTATTGATTTAAATAAATGTTATCTTTAATTCTTGACACTTTAATATTTCTTTCGAGTTTGAAATTCTGTAATTGGTTTCATAATTGAATTGACGACAAGTGATTATAATCGACGATCAGTTGGTATTATATCATTTGATTTGTATGTACTGTAAAGAAGTACCATGTGTTCATGTGATGGCTTACAGTTATATGAGAGATAATTATATAAAAGGTTAAAGAGAATAAATAATTATCTCAATAGACGGTAAATAAAAACCATTTACATAGTTATTGAAATAATATGCAGTTTTAATTCTTAATGGGTTCATAAGGTGTTTGCATGCACTAGGCTTACAGTATGTTGCACTCCTTTCTGGTGTAGATTTAATAACTTACTTAAAAGTTGATTCTTGGTTATTTTCCATAATTTATCCAATAATATGATGACAATTATCTATTAAATAAATGTGATTAAAATATGTGATAATAAGCTACTATTGATGTTTGCGCTAACATAAGGCCTTTCAGTACAAGTTGAGTACAAATTTAAGTCTTGATTTATATTAATAGCATAGTATTGATAGTTTGAAAGGTACAGTAGACTGTGAAGTTAGGATGTATCCATGTCATATAAATTTCTTTGTACATGTAAATGAATTTAAATAACTTCCAACATGTAATCTTACTAACATATTAATATAATATTATACTTAATATAATACTGTATGAATTTTGTAATGAATATTACAAGTAAAATATAATTGTAATTGTATATCAAATTTAATGCATTTCATTAAAATATGAATATACTGTATTTTATTTGAGATGTTTTTTCAATAACTTATTATTATATCAAATAAATGGGTGGAAAGTATTAGAAATCATTGAAATACTGTATTTTGTTTATGCCATAGAAATGATGACATGGTTTCATGTATTTCATAATAACAGTAAGAAAGACAATCTGAAAGACAATCTGAAAGACAGAGTCAGACCATACTCTGGGAGCAGACATAGAGTCGCAGTCATACACATGTATCACAAGTTTTGGGATTCCCTTTGATTTATGTGTTTAGCAGCAAAAAACATCCAATGAATAAATCAAGAGAAAAATGAGATAATATTTTAATTTTTATCTAAAATTCAACTCAAGAGATAAGTTATAGAAAAAGTTAGAAGAGATTTGTATTTTATACACAGAATGCAAGTCTCTATCACTTGAAGGACAAAGTTTATCCAAAAGTGCATTCATTTTTCACTCGAGTGTCACTAAAATTCAAGCATTTTTATATAAAAAGCAAATATAACTGACGTTTACATCATTTTAGCGGATAATTAATAAAATGCTAAGAATCGCTATAAAAGCATTACAAATGACTTAATGCGAAAAGTAATGTCATGTCATTGAATAGGAAATATAAATACAGAATTACTATAGAAAACAGCTTTTATTCACTTTCATCCTCTAGTTTTGCATTTTGTTTCACAATTATATTCCCACTAATGAATCAATTAATCAAAATTATTACGCGTTTGACACAAATCTAATTATTAGCGACAAAAACAAGTATACAATCAAATCATTGAATGTTTGTTTGTATGGAGAAGCGATTAATTGCACACAATTTTGTTCATACGTTGAATTGCGTGCAAAATGTATGCATTGTATTGCAATTGAGGTAAAAGTGAATTCACGCTAAACACCATAACATCAACTTAATTAAACTTATTTATATTGTATACAAATTGCCGTATTTTAGGTGACATTCGCTTTTTTGAAGCAAATTTAATGAGCGTCTAAATGAATTCAATAAATATACTGTAATTGCTTTTATAGAAAAGTAAAATAAAATTTCATTTTGTATGGGAATTTTATCCTTAATTATAAAGTTTCTGATCATTTTGTTTTTCAATCAAATTATACAACTAATTATCAAGTGAATGATGAAATTTGCAATCATTAAGAAAATTTTTTAATATTTTTAATATATTTCATATAATTTAATAAAAACAATTATGTTATAAATTTTATATGGACACATATTTATATATTAATATAATTAATTAATTTATTTAATGAAACTTAAATTGTAATTTATCCTCTTGTCCAAACCTTTAGTTTGAAATTTAACTTACATTTTTTTGAATGAAAACTATAACACAGATAACATGAAGCGGTCGATATGTCCAACAAATTGGGAACTTTTAATAAAAACAAATCCTTTGAGTCAACCCATCGCTAGCGAAGCATCACTTGAGGTCTTGTTTTGAGGCTTTAATTTTGTGTCAAAATTAAACATTAATACATTTATTATGGTTGAGAAAATATATAAAAACTCACAAAAACAAGTAAATCGTTGGGCAGTATTTGGTCGATATAATCGATAGGCGCCGCTCCGGGAGTTTCGGGATTCATAATAATGCGAAATTTAGGCAAAATTATTGATCCGCAAACCAATGGGTAGAGTATGTAATGCTGTTCTGCGCTTTGATTCGCTTCCAATACAATTTGAATCTAAATTCAAATTCAATTTATTTTTACTATATTTT